TCATATTCAAACTCCATATTAAAAATACTTTATGTACATCAAACATTCCAAGGAAAGTTGAAAATCTCTTATTTTAAATTCATAATGTGTACTGTGCTAAAATTCTCACTCACTACAGAGGGAAAATTGCACAGAGAAAACTGCTATTACTATATTTGACAGGAAAGAGAATGGCAAAACTAGAAATAATAGTAAGCCTCCCAAAGGTTCTGAAATGTAGGAACTAAGATGCACTAGAGTAAAGAAACATGGTGACCAAAAGCAGTTTCATTTCATAAAAGCTAGATGAACTACACTAACTACCCAAGGTCAGTGAAAAGAGAAAGGAATGGTCACTGAGGGAAGTTTGCCTACAAAGATATTTCCCCAAGTTTATTTCTTTGAGCCTTAATACCCTAAAATACATGCAGGCTTGGTTTGGAGGGCAGAGATATCATGTTAAATGTTCAGGGCACACACATCTACACCCAAAACACTTCAATACCATTGTTTCAATCAACATTTCTAAACTCATTTGACCAAGGCACGGTTTTTGTATACACATAATACTTATTGGAAATTATTTGTGGAAGAGGCTTTGAGATGAGATGAGGTGAAGAAAGCTCTTAAAAGGATGCTGGATTGGGACAGACTCTTTCTGCCTCATGTTCACTGAGCTGCTCATCTGAGAGATCAGAACAGTAGTTGAATTAGAAGCTGTCTTACATACAGGTTTACAATTGTAAATGGAGATCCAAGGGTCAACATTCCTGGCCTAAGTTTCAATCAACACTGTCTAGAGATCAGAGGGTAGAGTGAGAATTTTCCTGATGGTATTAGTGAACAGATTTCTTTAGAGAGAGATCTTCCCAGCCTCTTTTGGGATAAGGGTGTGGAAAGGCTATGTTCTAACACCTAACCTGTGTTGGACACTTCAAGAAAACTACTTGGGAATCTTTGAAATGAGTTCACTTAGTTGGGAGACTTGGGCGTGGAGTCTGAATCACATCTGAAATTATGTAAATAGTCTGTGGACAATGGAGTCAACTCTCATGAAGGAAGGCTAGATGCAGGCTCCTCACTGTTTTGGTGAAGGAGGCAGGGGAGTGCTGAGAGATGGTCTAAGAAAAGGATGCTAGTGCTTCTCTGTAGAACAGATCTGAGACATCCAGAAGGACCAGCATTGCATCTTGGGTCTTGTCCAAGAGTGACTCCTGGTGGAATAGGGAATCCTCAGCAGAAAGAGGCTGGAGATGAACTGTCAGATTCTTAAGGCCTCGTAGGTGAGTGAAGGAGGATTCAACAGGGCCCACTTAAGAGCCCAAGAGAAGTGTCAGTTTTAATCATCTGTAAACCCACCCAGGGACACGGGGGTAGAACATCTACCAGGCCCATTAAAACTGCCTCTTCCCTTCCCTTTCTCCTCTCCTTCTGTCTTCCACCCTGATGAGAAGACAAACAGCAGTTGCTAGTAGTCTATATAAGAGTAAGAAGAGAGTTAATGGACCAAGATGTTTCTGATTAAATTGTTCCAAAAATCAGAAAATAACAAAGGATCACCCCAGTATCCTTGCCCTCTAACACGCTTTTGTAAGACCAAGAACTTAATGACTTGAATTATGACAGATATTATAACATCTTTGCATATAAATATCTAGAATTCCATAGTTGAATAAATTGGGTTCCCAAGTTAAATTTGGCTTATATAACGAGTCTAAATCATAAAAATGGAGAGATAAATTTATTTAATATGCAATACGATGCTAATCAATGCAATCTTGGAAATTCAAGATTTGTTTATTTCTTTTTAAGAAAATATGTAGAAATGATGCAGAGGAAATAGAGGTAGGAAAGGAGCATTTTTATTAAAAGCAACATTAACTGAAAGGGAAAAAGCAACAGCTTAAGAGAAACATCAAATATACCATGTTGTAGTGTTATCTTAAATCCCCACAAAATTAGCCCAAATTCCTCTGAGTATATAATTTTCAGTCAAACTTACCATTGTATAAAGCCTTTTCTCCCTAACTAAGCTCTTTGTTCCTTCCAATTTAATTGGAGGCTTTATTTTTAAATGAACCTAAAGCAGTTTTGGTGGTTCATCTTTTCATTACTTCAGTAATAAAACACCAACTTGTTCACTGTAATAGTTGGTGGCAGTGTAATTACATTCAAGGGAAATAAAATATCTAGGTTTCCTTTCTCCTATTGTGTGGAAAACGTCTATAAATGAAGCAACAACTGAAACAATCTTTGGCTGTTTTGAAAATAATTGAGTCTAAGCTGTGATCGCTCACCTGGAGAAGTATTCTACAACCATTTTAATCATTATTTTCAGAAATGATCTTCGGCAAGGTGTAAGCTATATACTCTGTTATAATCAACAGAGCCCCACATTCTACATTCTTTCTTCAGTTATGAAATATTCTTATTTATATGTCAGAAAGGTACTGACATTTGGTCGAGAATATTAGTACTTTCCAATTACTCAGTGGTTAGCCCCAGCCAAAGTAATTCAGCATTTTAGAAAAGTAATGAATAAATCATTGAATATACTTACTTTTTCTCTCTCTTTTGAGAAAAGTTTAGAGCAGCAATACTTAATTACCACATTGAGTATAGGAATGCACCATAGCAGCTGTTAATATGCATTTTTAAGACTGGAGGATGTGGTGACTTATCTAGATATAAGGGCAACATATGTTCAGCTAAGCATATGGGTTATAATATAAATTATGATTATAGCATGAGGATAGGCACAGAGGGACATGTGCAGTGGCTGCCCGTCCCCATTTAATCAACTAACATTTTTCTATGGAAAATGGTATGGAGGTTTCTCAAACAATTGCAGATAGATCTACCATATGACCCAGCTATCCCACTGCTGGGAATATACCCAGAGGAATGGAAATCATCAAGTCGAAGATATACCTTTTCCCCAATGTTCATTGCAGCACTCTTTACAAGAGCCAAGAGTTGGAACCAGCCCAAATGTCCATCATTGGATGAGTGGATACGGAAAATGTGGTATATATACACAATGGAATATTACTCAGCTATAAAAACGAATGAAATACTGCCATTTGCAACAACATGGATGGACCTACAGAGAATGATATTAAGTGAAATAAGTCAGGCACAGAAAAAGAAATATCACATGTTCTCAGTTATTTGTGGGAGCTATAAGTAAATAAATAAATAAACATACAAAAAAGTAAATGGGGGTGAAGAAAACACAACAATCAGATCAATTCCTTGAACATCTTAAGACAAGTGAACAGATGTGATGTGGGGGGAGGGAACAGAGGGGGGGAAGAGGAACAGGTAAAGGTTCACAAATGTCAACTACAATGCGTATTAGGAAGTTAAAATAAAAAATAAAATAAAATGAAGAATAAATACATGTTCTGCAGCTTATCAAAAAACATTAAAATAAAAAAAATAAAATAAAGTGAATAAAGAAACTTTTTTAAAAATATTGATAACACAGTACCTCTTTTCATGCATAACACACCCGTAAAATCTCTAAATATTCTTTAAAGGAGGGACATCACTGAAGTGAGTTTGGCTCCTTAGAGAAATTAAACTTTCTTTATTGAAAACATTGTGACTTTTTAATCAAACCAAACAAGATAGAGTTTGTTCTTGTAGGAAATAAATCCACCTCCCCCTAGTACTGCCTCCATAGACACAAAATTGACTGA